GAACCGGATGCTTCTGAGCTCTCAGCAAAAAATAAGGATCTTCCTTTTGAAGTGAACTTCATTCACTCAAATCTATTATTTCTTATTTAAATACTTGCAGCTTACTGTAAATAATTACTCATTTTTCTCTTTCTGATATGTCAGTATTTGGTTCAAGCTGTTTATTTTTTGTTGGAATTTGCTTCAAAATGATTAACACTGTATATTTAAACCGCTGTTCCTGCTACAACAAGTGGGTGTAAAAGGGGAGATTTTTCTCTGATCTCTTACCTTTTAATTCACAATCATGCAGAAAAATACAGAGCAAAAGTGTTTGTATAAGTGTTTTAAACCGGTTAAAGAGACTTGATTGTGCTGCTTAACGGTATCTTTGAGCTTTCCTGTGCAGTTTTGTCAGGTGGTGGTTTGATGTTTTGGACAGTGATGCAACTGGTGAAGCGAAACTGTAAAGTGCATTTAATAGAGTCATTATTTTTCCAGAAAAATGTTGTGTGTGAGTTGTTTGTATGTCCCGAAGTGCTGTAACAGAGAAACAAAAAACAAATGCGTAAAGAAAAAAAATGAGGATGTTTGAAGAAGCCAAACTTAGAATAATATATTTAATCTCCTGGTAATTAAAACTTTTTATTTTTGATGAATTCCTAAAAAAAAAAATCCTTGACTGATCAGGTTTTTTCTTTGCCGACTGATGATTACTTGTATTCACTTTCATAAAAGTTAACAAACTAAGATGCTTTCCTACAGAGCTTACTTAAAGAAAACTATTAGAATACAATTTTGTAACAAAACTTAAAATGTTCTTACATTCCCACAGCGATGAAAGACAACACATACACTATCAGTATGATGACTCATCCATATTAGAAGAAGTYAGACTTTAGTGCTGTCAGACAGCTGCAGCTTTATTTTTGAATTGGCAACTTCTAAACACTACATCAGTCTTGCATTTCTTTTTTCTCCCWTTGCTCCTAACTGCTTTTAGAGAATAAACTGGTGTCTGCTCACTCTGTTGTACAAGGATGTATTTGTACTGTAAACCTGTTGCCTTTTTATAAATATTCTTGGGGCTACAGCATTCAATGTGAAAAGAAATGAAATGTAATGCACAACGAGCTTTTAAAGATAACTGTTTAATGTGAAAGTCAGTGAGTTGGATTACTTTCTGCTTGCTTGGAACACATTTGTCATGGATACCTAAATTAAATCCCCATCTATGCATTACGTGTCTGACGTCATTTATTAAAAGAAGAAAAAATGTTTTTTTTTCTGCTTTGACGTGCAGTTAGCATTATAAAGTCACTGACAAAAAAAATGTTAAGAACTCAGGAAAAAATGGCTGTAAGTTGCAAAGAGCTGTAATGTCTGGAACGAGCACAAGAAAACACAAGTGGTTGCACATACCATACCAGCTTGATTTATAAGGCACTTTAAGCAATCATTAGCCAAAGTGTGGTACAGTTAACCAATAAAACAATTACATTGTAATAAAAGCCTAAGTGTGTGTATGTATGTACAGTATGTATGTATGTATGTATGTATGTATGTATGTATGTATGTGTATATAAAAATACATTACAAAATCCAGTAAAAGTAGCAGAAAAGTTGAACAACGGTAAAAGGCAGTGGTGGGCAGCACTAATCTAAAGCACTAACACTGAAAATTTTAGCAAAAGCTACTTCTAAAGCACTAAAATAACTCAGTCAACCCATGAACATTCTTCAACAGACATGAGTCACATTTCCATGTTGCTCTCTTAAGACTTATCATTGATCTTCCACAGCTCTATTTGAGTTCATTGTCACCTGGTGGATACATACTGTATATGAACAAAATGTTTTCACCATAAGTTGTTAACATTAACGTTGATCAATAACATTTATAGACCTCAGTTAGTGCTTCTAAATTTAGCCTATATATTTAGCAAACGCTAATCCACAAATAAATTTTAAAATGACCAAAAGCTCTAAAGCACTAATCAGAAAATTAGTTCCCCTATTAGTGCTTTAGGGGAACTGTGCCCACCACTGGTAAAAGGTTTGTGT